CAACATCAAACTGTCCTCCACGCTGGCGATGATTTCTGAGGTGCTGTCTCCTCGCAGGAGGAGTTCTCCACGGGTTTTAAAGCTGCTAAACGTGAATGTCTTGTTGTCCCATTCATTAATCACTTGATTCAGCTTTTGCTCAATGTCTCTCTCTTTCACTGCACTGATACAGATGTCCTATCAAAATGGCAAGCTCTCACTTTATTACATGAAAGTCACACATCCTGGCTTAACAGTCTAGGTTCAGCAGAGATCCTGTCCTCACTATTTGCTTCATACGTATCTATAAACACTTGTAGTTCCAGATCTAAAATGCAATATCATAAATGGTGTGTGCATATGTAGATGTCGATGTAGTGAGACAGATGGGGATAAAGATATGACTAAATAATAGAACCTTAATTTATAAAATTTCCCAACAAATATTCCAGAAAGATGACAGAAAAGAAATGTAGTAACCTTTTAAATTTTGAAATTTTAATGTGTTTCTGGTTTACCTCTAAAGTCAAATGAATGCAATGTGAGAGGAGGAAATTAGCAGACAGCTGATTTCTTCCCATCTGTTTGTTCACTTTCCCAGTCTCCTCTGTAGACTTATCTTCTCCTGGACCACTAGCCAAGCCCACCTTTACCCTCATTTCTTCTCACACTACATTCCCTCTCTGGTTGACGTCGTCTAAGCCTATGTGTTCAGTAACCTTTTATATCTTCAGGCAAAACCCACACCCATTTGTCCACTGAACTTTTCTGCTTGGATGTTTCAAGTAAATCCCAAACAATTTGTAAAATATCAAATGCATGCCCAAAATCAAGCTTATGATTTTTGTACCTTGTCACCCAATATGGTCCCCTTCCAGGATTCCCTGTCTTGGTGATAAGCACCATCATTCATCTAGATCTCTCAACAAGAAATCTAGGGGTTCATACTTAGCCCCTCCCCTTCTTTCTCCCACGATGTTCCCTCTATCACCAAATTCTGCCCAGTTTTAACTCCTAAAATTCCCTGGGATCTTCTCTCCTTTCCAGCTGCACTACCTCCCCTCTCATCCAACAAACCATTATCTCCTGCTTGGCTTCTCTTATAACCTTTTAGTTGGTTATCCCATCATTTCCCCCTTGTCCTCCTTCAATTTTTTTCTCCACGTGGCTACCAGAATGAGCTTTACAAAATGCAAACCTAACATGTCATCCCCTTCTATAAACACATCCCCCAAATGGTTCCCCATTGTTCCCAAAACTTAAATCAACCACACGTCCTTGGTCCACTCCAACTCCCTGGCCTCAGGGGTCTCCCCTCTCCCACCTCCATACCCCAGTCACATGGGCCTTCTTCTGTTCCCTCAAAACACTCTTCGAACCCTCCGCACATGAAGTTCTATCTGCCCGTAGTGATCTTCTGTGCACTTTCCCAGCCCCTCACCCTCACCATGCGACCACACTCAACCAGCCAATCCCGTGCATGCACCTCGGCTTCCCTACATGTACCACCTCCAGATAAGCCAAACCCCTTTACTGTAGGCTCTCCTGAAGCAGCATACTTTTCCTTTGATTATATTTATCGCAGCTTATAACTATACCTTTATATGTATGCTTATTTAATTATACTAAATATTTCATGACCTATAAATGCAGGAATGTATCATGATGTCCCCAAAACAGAATCTGTCCATAGTAGGCACTCTATAAATATTTGTTGAAGAAATTCATGGCTTATATGTATGCTTATTTAATTATACTAAATATTTCATGACCTATAAATGCAGGAATGTATCTTGATGTCCCCAAAACAGAATCTGTCCATAGTAGGCACTCTATAAATATTTGTTGAAGAAATTCATGGCTGAATGCCAGAAAGAATTTCAATTATCCTAACATAGCTTACTGATCTAACATTCCATAATAGAGGGATGTTATCAAATAAATCCCATGAGACCTTCCAATCTTCCACCACATGATGCTTTCTATCAACTGTACCTCTATTTCCTCTTTGTATTTCAGAAGAGGTGCCTCCATGATATTTTTTAACTTAAATGTTTCATTCCCCACATCCAGTCTGTGCCCAGTGACAGCAGTTATCCGTTCCCAGTGCCTCTCCATCATAGCTTTACTGGACATGTATTCCAGCAGTGGGCAACACTCGCTGAAATCATCAATAGTCTTCTTCAGGTCCAAAAAAGCCTGCCAGTCCTTCAAGGCCCGGGGAAGCTTCCGACACCTGCAGAGGGAAACCAACATGAAAGGCCATTTGAATGTGAGCACAGACCTCACCAGTCCAAGTCTGTCTGCCAGCACTTCTATCAAAAGCTGTCTCTTCAAATACCTATCCCATTTTTAAATCTCAAGACTCAGAGGCTATCTGTTAATATAATATACTAACTTTCATGTTACAGAAAATTGCTCCTCCTCATCAGAAAAGATTTTTTCCAATCCCTCATAACATTTGTCCAAATAGAGGCATTGTTTTAAAGAACAGAGGTGCCTTTCCGTTCAATTCAATTCTATAAACATGTACTTGGAACGTACTATCTTTAAAGAACAGCATGGCCTTATCAGGAAGCCAACTGAAATATACAATAAATGATACTCAATTTTCTTTGGGTTCAACCCCTAAAACAATATAGAGAAATCATAGGGGCCTTGCTTTTATACCACAAAATCATCTAACATAAACTTCAATATTTGATAAGTATAATACAAAAAAAATCAGCTCCCTCCAAGTTACAGAAAAGCCCCTGACAAGATGTATCCAGGTTTGAAGAACATGCTTGTCTCACTGTGTACACAAAGGGGTAATTAACAAGTAGCATTTGACAAGGGTGATGTCAACAGACAACAACCATGCAGCAAGCTGTGCTCTCAAAACATCTGGGGTGAAAAAGAGAATGTGGCAGCCTATCAAAGAAGAAAGCACTTGAAGTTCAATAGCTCTGGTCATGCTAAACATTTAATTTCTCACCTGTTCTGGAATTCTAAAAGTTCGTTGTTGATTTTTTCAATATTCACTTCTGACCAAAGGATATCGTAATAACTGTTCACAGTTTCTATGACACTGTTGTACAGAGTGTATATTTTCTGTAGAAGATTTAGTTGCTTCTTTATTTCAAGAAGCTGAGGATACTGCGTGACCGGCAAACCGAAAAGCTCCTCTCCTCCAGTATAGGTGATGTATTTTCGATAGATATTATCAAATTGATTCTAATATAATCACAAGTGAAAACTCATCAGAGTGATTTACACACGAACAAACACGCAAGTGAAAATAAAAGCTCAGCAAACAAGCAAGCATGTATGATCTCTGGGCAAATGTAAACAGAAACACTAAATTGGTATAATTAATTTACAAAAACCTCTAGTTGTAAACACATAAATAATTTTTTTAAATATATGTGCATACCCTATTCCATAATAGGTCTTTCTATCTTTAAAAAAAGGCATATGCATGTTTAAAATATAGTGAGGTCTTCACTATTTAGAAGTTCATAGAAACTAAAAAGATTACCTGAAACATGGTAAGTCTATCACTGGCTTCCTGGGGTTTCAAGCCACTAGCCATTGGACCATTCTGAACAAAAAAGTTAAAATAAATATAAAATAGAATGAACTGCTTGCATACAAATTTTGTAAATTCAAAATACTTGAATATCAAAGTTATTTTTCATGCATGTCACATGTGTTATAGGAAACTTGGTTTCTTATTTGTAAAAAAGGGCTCAGGAAGTGATTCATGTGGAAATGTTTTTCAAGTCTAAAGAATCCATGTTAATGCCACAACTTTCATAAGTCAAGAAACTTTTAAAATTAAAAATATGTATTATTCATTTCTTAGGTGACATAGGCAAAGAAGAGCCAATGGCTATTCTATAAGAAGCACATGAAATGTCTGGTTTCAAACTAAAATGCCATATAACTTACAGACTTCACCATTCTAATACCTAATTTCTAAAGTGGCCTATTATCTTAACGTTCCAATCAAGTTTTTCTACACTAGAATACCTTCAGTATGTGGATTTCTGTGCTTAGTGCACGGATCCAATCTCCTAACTTTATTAGCTTTGTGGTTTGTTGTGCTACTAATTAATAGGTACAAATTTTACCCTATACCCTAAGTATTTTCCTTCTGTAGTACGTTATAATCTTCTGAAAATGAGTCTCATTATACAACATTAGAAAATATGCTAAGAGATTCTGCACTGAAACCCAAACGTATGAGTAAAATAGATACTCCAAAGGGGCAGGGCTCCATCCGTCTTGTCCACAACTGTGTCATCATCACCAAGGACAGTGCCTGGCACATGCTGGGTGCTCTATATTATTTGAGGAAAGGAGAACTATTATAACTACATGTGAATGGTGATTCTCTACACAAATTTAAGACACTATCAAACAATTTCAGTAACTGACCCATGATGCAATATGAACAGCACTTTAAATTCCCCAATTTCTGATGAACTTTAAGGAGAAGGGATAGTGAAAGGGAAATCCTTTGCTGTTATGAAAATAAAACTCCCATTCCTAGGGAATTCCTAGAAAATTTCATAAAATTTGACACAGAATTTATAAACAACTACATTTTACATGCTCTATTCACTCTTCCCCCAAAATGCACACAGAGAAAGCTAGAATCATACCAAATCATAGTCCAAATAAAACTGGCGACAGTCTTGGAGGAAGACCTCCATAGTGCTAATAAGCTCTTTCCTGAAACTGGGCTGCAGTGCAGCTAATTCATTCTGAACTTCACTAGCACGTATGCGCAGCTTTTCCCAAGCATAGTGCAGTGTATCAACTTTGTCCATCTCTTCCTTTGCTATCAGAAGTCCGTATTTGTTAAGCAGGGCATAAGATTCCTACACACAAAAAAAGAGAAACTTAATTTCTGCCAGTCAGGTGCATAAACCTACACACATTTATTAAAGCATTAAAATGGAAAAGATATGCATGATAGTAAAAACCACCACAAGAGTTCTATTTAGTCTACTTGCAAAATTGCAAGGGCTTAAATGAGCAACTGAGCCACTCAGCTTCAGTTTCCTCATCTATAAAAAGGGGAAATTCTCTGGTTGCTTCATGGGATCTTTGTGAATATCAAAAATATCATTTCAAATGCATTTTGAAGACTATAAAACATTATTCAAATAAAAGATAGTTTTAGTAAAGCCCCCAAATTGAATCTGAAGACTACAAAATTATATCAAGTAAATGAAAAACATAAAACAATTTAACTTATGATATTAGGATAACAAAATTAATTAGGGTTTCAACTCTGTCCCATTTCACTTTATTGATAAGAGTTTCCAATAGTAAGACACAAGGGGGTGTCCTTGTCCTCAGCATGCAAAATTCTGGGCTACTCTCTTGGCTAAAAGATTAAAATGAGACAAAGGTTGGTTCTGATTAGAAAGAATTTTCCCTAAATATCCATGGCCTCTTTGCCCACCATTACTCCTCCCAGTGGAGGCGGGATGAGTACCCGATTGGTGATGTGGAGAAAATATTGTTGATTTGGGCAAGCATACCCCAGTGCCTTTCTCCCTGCTCCCTTATTCTCTTAGGAGGCACGACTGTGGTCTGCCCCTCAGTACCATAAATTGGATCAGGGAAGAGAGAGACCTGCAGCTTTCCAGTGCTCCTCTGATGAATGAGGATGTACAATAATTGGGATTTAGTGTTCACAAGCCCATACTGCATGTGTGTGTGAGAGTGTGTGTGTTTGAGGAAGGGGATTATAGGGAATAACCAGAGCAGTACACTAAATAATGTCTTCCAAATAAGTTCTATCAGTAATAAAATCTGTATTTTGATCTCGACTCTACTTTTGTCTTAACTCCCTGGTGGGAGAAAACAGGATTGTCCTCTTCAGCTTCCAAGGACTACCCTGATCCTACACAAAGAAAGGGCTCTTTGCTTTAATGTTTCAGTTCCAAAGAAGAGCATGAGGGCCGTGTGATTCCCCCAGCCCAGCACAGCCGAAGTGCAAATGCTAGTGGTCTGCACAATTTTCACGATAATGTGAAATCTTCCAAAATTCAAAGAGGACACAGAAAATGTGAGACTAGAGTCTGATCCTGACCATTGGAGTATAAGTTCAGGCATTCAAATTACAGTGTGATGAAAAGATAATGATTTCAAATCTGGAATTATTTTAATGCTACAATTATACTGGTCTCGTTTTAAAGAATAACTATCGTGACCCACTTCTGATATGATATCTTCATCTGGAAAGGATAGTATCACACTTAAAATAAAAATAAAAGTGATGTGCAACACTGATTAAAGTACATAATTTCTTTAACTTTCAGTTTCCTTGTGTGGAAATAGGGGCAGTAAGTCACAAGGATGCAATGAGTTAATCTATGTTCGGGGCACTGATACAGCCCCATCCAGGTTCTGTTCACCACCTGCTGCTTCCATCCCCAGCTACTGACAGTGCTGGCTAAAGTGATCACTGATGTCTTCCCTAGAAAACTGTCCTCAGCTGAATGGGAGCTTCCTCTTGGGGAGATAATGGTCAATGGCACACTGACTTGGGGGTACAAATGTTAGTCCCCTTTCCTCAAAGTGGGACAAATTGTATGGAACCACTCATGCTGTAGAGGGATCTCATCCCCGTGCTCCCCTAGGGTCAATCTTAAGTTAGTCTACAGCTGAGACCACATCCTCACTTAGCTTCTCCCCCACCCTCACCATTCTTCCCTGTTTCCCTCACTCCCCTTTTCCCATGAGCACTCATCAGTAAATTCCTTGCATAGAAATCCTCATCTCATATGATCCAGCAATCCCACTACTGGATAAACATCCAGAGGATTGGAAATCATCATGTTTTAAAGATTCCTGCACTCCCACGTTTACTGCAGCTCTATTTACAGCAGCCAGGCTATGGAACCAACCTAAATGTCCATCAGTGGACAACTGGATAAGGAAAATGTGGTATATATACACAGTGGAATACTACTCATCCATAAAAAAGAATGAAATTCCACCATGAACAGCAACATGGATAAGCCTGGAGAAAATTATTCTAAGTGAAACAACCCAGGTGCAGAAAAAGAAATACTGTATGTCCTCCCTTATAAGTGGGAGCTGAATCCATAAATAAACAAACAATAAAGAGAGACACAGAGAGAGAGAGAAATAAGAATCACAAACAATCACAATAATACTTTGAACTTTTAGAAGGAGAGAAAAGAACTGTGGTTACTAGAGGTGGAAAAGGGGAAGGGATAGGGAGGGGGAGGGCAATTAATGAGAAACTGGTTAATGGACACAAGGAATGATTATGTATTGTAATGATGAATAAGCTAACCATCTTGATCTGACCACCGCACATTGTACACAACTATTGAAAGTCAACTTAGTACCCCATATATATGCATAATAAATTATCTTTAAGAAAAAAGAAAAGAAATCTTCATCTCAGTCTCTGTTCCTAGGGACGTTAAATGACATGTAAAGGATGCGCACTAGCCTATGGAGAGCACCCTATAAGCGTAGGTATCATCATTGCTGAAATTCATTCTTAGGTTTAGCACCTATTCATAACTTTAGACCAGACCTGGTCAGTATTCAGCTCATAGCATCCAACAAGTGGAAATATTTATATAGCGAACAAACAACCATCAGTTACCTCAATAGGTCCTACTTGAAAGTCAATGGATATTTGCTGCTCCCTGATTTCTTTCAGTGCCGCCATCGCAATCCGAATGTCGTCCAGGTCTTTAATTTGACGATTCAGTTTCTTATTGAATTCTTCAATAAGTGTGAAAATGTTTTCCATCTCACTCCTGTATTTTTTATTACAGTGACGGCCAATGACAACCATCCAAGCCTTAGTTTCAGCAGTCAGAGCAAACTTCAAGTCAGCTATAAAACCCAAATGTCCACAGTTCAGTTTGAAAAACGTGAGCCAGTATGAAAAGGCACAGGGCTACTGTTCATCAACAGCAAATACTTGGCAGCTTACAGCCCTCTAATGCATGAAAAATCAAACTGGAAAAAAAAAATACTTTTTCCTAGTCATTATATATTCCTTCATTTTATAAAGCTTGTTTTACAACAATTCAAAACACATTTCAAAATGTTAGGAAAAAATATATATATCGAAATGCTCTGAGATAAGCCTCAAATGCTTGTTATTGTTATTTATTAAATAAAGGGTACGTTTTAATTCCAAATGCAACAAACTCATCCCCTGTCTCTGAATTGGCCTTTATTTTCAAGGTTTAGAAGCAAAGTGTTAAAAATAGTCCAGAATAAATAATTATTCAGAAAGGCATTAAAGGGGCCGGCCCGGTGGCACACTGGATAGTGCGCCGCTTGGGAAGCGCGGCGGCGCTCCCGCCCGAGGGTTCGGATCCCACATACAGACTGGTTCCCGCTCACTGGCTGAGCGAGGCGTGGGAGCAACACCGAGGGTTGCAATCCCGTTGCCGTCCCCGGTCCGGTACGGGGGCAACACTGAGGGTTGCGATCCGTTGCCGGACACGGAAAAAAGACAAAAAAAAAAAAAAAAAGAAAGGCATTAAAAACAAATCTACACTTACAACAAGCAAACGGAAAGGACGTTGTTGGGTGGGAGGGGGGAGAGGGAGGAGGGAGGGAGGTTTCCGTGATGGGCCATAATAAACAACCACATTGTATATCGACAAAATAAAAATTTAAAGGAAAAAAAAATCTACAAATTGGTCTTAAAGCTTGAGGCCCATAAAAGGAAAGTCAATGTTTAAAACAGCTAGAATTTTCCAGAATACTAATCTAAGTAAAGAGATAGAACAATACCTTTGAATTTGTGTGACTGAAAGAAAATGAACCAACCTGTGTACAGAGCAATGCAACCCACACAGATGTATTCAGGCTCAGCATTAATTTCCTGCTCTAGGTTTTGGAAATAGAGAATCTGGGATTCAAATTCAGAAAGCAAGGGGGTTTTCATAGTAAATGTCATAACAGTTTCTTCTTTCTCCTTTTGCCAAATGTGATTGTAGCACTTGAAGCAATCCATGGATGTAATAACTTCCTAGAATATAAATAAACCACAGATTTGTGTTGAGAAGAAAGAACCTGAAATAGCATCATGACATAAGTGAATATTTGCCAATTGCTGGTGGTTCCCACGGATTTATTAAAATGTTTAGTGAACTGTGTAATTAGTTGGAAATGCCACAGAACTGGGACTATATACAATAATGTGAACAGTAACCCAGAGCGAGTAGTAGTTTCATTGTTACCATTTGTAGCTAAAAGAGAGAGAAACAGTTTCTAGAAACTAGAAGAGTTCTCAAAGAACTGTGTGGACAGGGTCCTCTTTAGTGGAGCTGGATCTTAGGTCAAAATCCACAGCTCAAGGTCAGGCCAGAGGGAGGGTGCTATGGAAAAAAAACAAATACTCTGAGGTCACTCTCTTTGCCCCCTGATCTTTTCCAAGATTCTTCCCCAGATAAATCCACCAGACACTTCAATGGGAAACTACTGATGTGTTGCCTAAGGTGAGACAGTCAAGCAGAGAAGGGTGGAGATTCAATAGGGGGTGGGATGGGAGGACACAAAGAACATAGCCAGCCTCAATCCCATTGGAAGATCGCATGGAATCACATAAAACATATAAATTCATGTACCAAGAATTGACATCTGTACAATACTACATCCTCCTACCCAGGAGCACAGTACATGTTTCCATATCTTCCAATCTTTGGCAAAAATTCCTTGTTAAGTTTTAGAGAAATCTTCACAGATATCTGCACACACTTTTCATTATGTATGTTCCTAGGTATTTTCCAATGACATTGTCATTGTACACAAGATCTTTTCCCACTGTTTTATAACAGGCTATGAATGGCAGTCCAGTTGGCTACCAAGCGTGCTTCTGTAGGAAGAAATGGCTCAGTCGCAATTGGTAAACAGAGGATGGTGTCAATGTCATGGGGAGGTCACATTATCAAATGCAGAACAAGTGCTACTGTTTTGTACCCTTTAAAGCAGCGAGCCACAGAGGAGCAGTCCGTGTGCCATGCTCCTTCACCACTTCGTTTTGGACCAATTTGGTCATCACTTGTCTTCAGAATGTTCTTTACACAGGTTGACCTGATCTTTGCATATATTATCCCTGCTCCCATATCACAGCAGCCTCAGCTGCTCCTTACACCAGTTCCCCCTGGGGCTTCCTTCATGTTTTTATATAAAGTTCTATAATTACTAAGGTGTTGTTAAAAGCACACATGTTTTACTATAATTGTTACTGTTAATATTTTACTACAATTGTTATTGTTTCTGTTACTACTCTGGCTACAAAACTGCCTAGATCTTGTGTGTCTGCCTCAATCCTGTTTTTCTTATAATCCCTAGTTAATATGAAATGTGCAGCTTTGCAAAACAGGAGGATTTTCAGGAGCATGTTTATGGCGTTGTATCAGAAAGGCCTACAATTATATTTCAATTGACTATTAACTCTTCTCAGGGCACAATTTTTTTCAGATTAGCCTCTTGGATTTAAATGGTAAATAAACATATCATCTACAAATAATTAATAATGTATCCCTTCATTTCTCATGTTTATACTTCTTCAGAATTACGTTTTTCTACAGGCTTACATTATAATTTCAGAGTTACATCTGCATAAAAAAATTTTTTAAACTGACATAGAATAGCAAAGCAATTAATCAGAATAATTGATTATTGTCAACAGCATTCTAAATGGTCCAATTATTTGAAGTAAATTGCACCAACCTACACCAAACCAAGGAGTCGTTCCACTCCAACTCCCTCTATACAGCTAAAATGTCCCTCAGAGCCTCAGGCCTAATGGGTGTTGAGACTTCCCAGCCACTAAAATGCAGAAAGCTAACCATGCTGCCACCTGTCCCAACCACAACTGATCCTCTGGCCTGACATGTTGGCATGCATACCAAGAAAAATAAAATATCTATGCTCAGCAAATAGACATATTCACAAATGCATGACCATTTGGAAAATGAATTACACATATTATTGAAGACTCCTGAATATGGGTAGAAATTCCAGAATCCTGAACTCTTTTAACAGCCAAGAGCTTATAATATTAAGAATATACCTTAACTAAATAAGTTTTAGGTTCTTATTTTATCAGAAAGTGTCAATCTTTATTAAATTGGAACTTTTTAGAATGGTGGTAATGTCGACCTTAAAAGAGACATAGACCTTAAAAGAAAAATTAGATGAACTATACTAGAACTGTTCTGCTTAAGTTACTTTTATGAACGGGGTTATTTTGATTGTTTAGTCCATCTCATCTTTTCAAGCCAGGCTTGTTATAAGTTGAAGGCCAATCTATGAACGTGCTGGGTGTAGGTTGGGTTTATACTGTGATCCAATCAGCTATGGCAAGAGGAAAGGGGCAGGGGTCACAGGATTTTCTGCAGTTGTGACAGAATCATTCAGAAGGTTCTGTGGCTGTGGAGGCTGGCCGGGCCTGGTACTATCACTAAGTGTACATATGTTCTCCCAGAAACAATTCGGTCATCCCATAAATCTGCAATAAGTTCTTCAAATTATTCTAAATACCAACCCTTTCCACTATTTCAAGAAAGATTGATATCTGTACATTTCCTTCATTTAATATAAAAGCAAATGCAACAAAAAATGACACAGAGGTAAGCGTTTTGTGGCCAGCAGCATGTTAATTTCAACATTATGTTTTACCCTTAGATTTCTGTAATAATGATTGATTATATTCGGATAAAGTAATGGCCTTTATTGCTGATTTATTTTATTGTATTTTCTATGATTACTGAGACATTTGAAAGTGTTTCAATGTTTGTTGTTATAACAAAATACTCTACTTATCTTTATCATTTAGTATAGAGCCTAAAAAGTTAAGCACTAGATAAACATTTGTTAAATTATATGAATACAGTCCTTAGGGTAAAATTAATACAGTACTTTCAATACATTAAGGAAGATTAAAAGTACATAAATGCAAAGACTTCCAGTTCCCTTGGGAACACATTAAAACTAACAATAATATTTCCTCTCATTGTTACAGCAACAGCAGCTTTTCAAAGTGCTTTCAAATGAACATAACTCACTCTATCAAAACTGAGTAATAGAAAAGATGTATTTACTGAGTGACAACTATTCTCTCAACATTAAGAAACATTTTTAATGAGTCTACAGGTCTAGTGACAATGTGAATTAGCAGATTTTTTAAAATAAAAAATGACTTCAGGCTTTTGAGCTTTTTTGACTATAGAAATAGATTTACCTATACAAAAAACAAGGGAAGTTGAAATATTAGGTTGGAAGAAAGAATTAACCTGAACTGAAGTCCATGTCCAGTACAAGTTTGTATCAATAGTACTAATATTTTCTTTATTCTCAGTTTTACCTAATTTCCATGTGATAATATACATACATTTTTATCTGATACTTCATAAAATTGGTCTGACTACACAAATATAAAAAATTTATTGCAAACCTCATTCTATTTCAAATATTCTAGTGTCACTGACTCTTGGAAGGTGAATGGTAACACCAGTCTGACTTGTGGTTTGGAACATATTTGATTTTTTTAAAGTTAGATACATTTGTATTAAAATAAGAGGTTAAGGAATTAAAAAGAACAAAATACAAAAAATAAGAATAATAGTTTTATTTCACCTTGCAATGTAGAATGAAAGATCTTCAGTTCAACAAACATTTCCTGAGCACGTACAAAATGTCATTAGCAGCTCACTGAAGGCACAGTCGGTAAGACCCAGGTTCCATGTAGGTCAAGCTTGTGATGTTCAAGTTCACACAGGCACATGTCATAAAGCAAAGGGCCCTGGCTCCAGAGCCTCTTGACTTACCTTTTTGGTGGAGTTGATGATTGTGCTGAGCACAGACACTAATTTTACAATCTCTTTGTTATCAGAAATATTCTTATAATAGTTCTTGGTTTGCACAGGAATGGGTAAGCTTACAGATGCTATCTCAAAGGTATCTAAAAGCAAAAAAGAAAAAAAAACATTGTATTAACAGCACAGGGAACATACTTTAAAAAGATGAGCATATTTCTGTAATGATAAAATAAGGACCTCCGAAAATCTCCTCTACAAAAGCAATAAAAATAATGGGAAAAAATGTCAATATCAACTTTTTGGGGCTCTGGAAATTAATCAAAGCTTGTAACAATCCAAAAAGTGTTTATTCAAGAAAAAAACTGCAGAATCGGTAACATGAGCAAGTTTTGTAGTGTTTTAACTCGTTCTATTCCCAACGCCCCCCTCTGGCTATGTGGTAGCCTTGAAAAACAGAAGCCTCACAACCATGAGAGCTGTGAAAACCAGCAGTCTCGCAGTCCCTGGAATGGCCACACTGAGTTTGGAGCTCCTCAGGGGGCTTCCACAGAATTGTCACTCTTCGACCTGTGTGGACACTTACCAGAAAAGTCCCATTCAAAGAGTTTATCTTTATTTGATCTGATTCAGAACTCACTGAGTGAAAAACGTCCTGTCTCCAAGGCATTTGTCAGAAAGCGTCAGCAATAATTGTCTAACTTCACAGCTGCCTGAGTTAATAATATTAGCTGGGGCAAACAAGAGGTTGGTCAAAAAAGTTAAAGATCTGGGGAATGAGATGCTCACACTGGGCACTGTGAAGCCCTGACATCCTTCTGGGGCTCTACAAGGCCACACACGCAGGCAGAGCTGTGAACGTGCCCAGGAATGACCAAAAAATGCCTCAGTCTTTCACCTCTGGCTGAACTCAAGACCTTGCACAATCAGCAGATGCAGTAGTCCCCCTTATCCACGGCTCCATGTTCCATGGTTTTGGTTACCCGTGGTACAGTACAACGAGACGTTTTGAGAGACAAATCACATTCACATAACTTTTATTATAGTATATTGCTAATATTGTTCTATGTTCTGTTTTATTATTAGTTACTGCTTTTAATCTCTCACTATGCCTTGTTTATAAATTAAACTTTATCATAAGTATGTATGAGTAGAAAAAAATAGTATATATAGGGTTTAGTACTATCTGCAGTTTCAGGCACCCACAGGGGGTCTTGGAATGTATTCTCCAAGGATAACGGGGGACCATGGTAAATGATAAGGCAGTGTTCTAAACTG